TGAGGGGGGGCTCCCATGGTGAGGGAGGGAGTAGGGCAGGGGCTGGGGTGAATGGGGCCCCTGGGCAGGTTGTGGGAAGGTTGGAGCCTGGGCAGCTTGCCCCAGGACACAAGGGGTTTCTTCCTCTGTGCACATCCCCAAGACAGGAATGGGGGGCACATGCCCCCCAGATCTGTGCATGGGGCAGAGGAGAATTGCTGCTGTGGGCTGGGCTCTGTGCCTCACTGGCTCTGCCCCAGCAGCTGTGCAATGCCACATGCCTCCTGCATGCTAGCTGCACCCAGGCCCCTGCCCACCTGGTGACAGGAGACATGTGGCATTGCATGGCTGCTGGGGCACTGGCAGTAAGGCACAGAGCCCAGCCTTCAGTGGCAGCCAGCCTCTGCCCCATGCACAGATCCAGGGGGGACGTGCCCCCCATGCCTGCCCTGGGGGTACACAGAGTGGAGGGAGCCCCCCCTGCCTCTGGATGAGTTGCCCGGGCTCTGACCGTCCTATGACCCACCCCGAGGCCCTGCTCACCTCAGCCCCTGCCCCACTCCCTCCCTCACCACAGGGGGCCTCAATCTTCCCCTCCGCACCCCTTCCATCCCCCTCCTTCCCCCCTACACACTTACCTGCTGGGCGCTGCTCCACACACAGCAGGGCCAAGCTGAGTTCCCGGCTGCCTGCAGGCTCTGGCAGCTCATTTGTCTCTGTGCCCCTCTTTCCCCTGCTGCAACCTCCTGGAGCCCACACCCAGGCTGCCCTGTGGTGCTCTGTGCTGCCACCACTGCCCTGTGTTTGCAGGGGCTAAGCCCCATTAGCCCTAGACTTCCGCTGCCTGTGCAGAGCCACCTTCCACTGTGTGTCTTTCATCCTCAGTGGCTGCATCTACAAGTGTGCTTTACTGTAGTTGACTAATTAGCTCTGCAGTAAAGCATCACAGCCTACACATGCACCCATATTAGGGCACAGTGAACTAATTCACTCCACCATAGGATAGCACTGCCCAACACAAGTACTATCCTATGGTGGAGTACTTACATGCATTTCAGTGCATGTGTAGACTGTGACCAGGGCTGGCTGGGGCACGAAGGTGCTACAGTGCAAGGGCTGCCTGCTGGCTAGTCCTGCACTGTAGCATCCTTGTGCCCCAGCCAGCCCTTCCACCACCTGAGGCCACCATCTGGAGGCATGGCTAATAGTTTCATAGTTTCATAGATTTAGGGTTGGAAGGGACCTAATAGATCTTCTAGCCCAACCCCCCACCAGGGCGGGAGAAGAACAAAACCCCAAAACAAAAACGGGACTCAAATGAGTCCAGCCAGGTAGGCATCCAGCCTCTTCTTAAAGACCCCCAGGGTAGGGGCCAGCACCACTTCCCTTGGAAGTTGGTTCCAGCTCCTAGCCGCCCTAACTGTGAAG